TTTCTTGGTTTCTCTCTCTCTCTCTCCTTTTTTTCCCCCTTTGCTCATTTGTTTTGTTTCTTAAATTCCACAAATGAGTGAAGTCATATGGTATTTGTCTTTCTCTGGCTGACTTATTTCGGTCAGCATAATACTCTCTAGCTCTATCCATGTCATTGCAAAGGGCAGGATTTCATTCTTTTTTGTGGCTGAGTAATAGTCCAGAGTGTGTGTGTGTGTGTGTGTGTGTGTGTGTGTACACGTGTATATATTTGTATACATTTACTCATACCACCTCTTCTTAATCCATTCATCTATTGATGGATACTTGGGCTGCTTCCATAATTTGGCTCTTGTAAATAATGCTGCTGTAAACATAGGGGTGCATCTATCCCTTTGAATTAGTGTTTTTATATTCTTTGAATAAATACCCAGTAGTGTGATTGCTGAGTCATAGGGTAGTTCTGTTTTTAACTTTTCGAGGAAGCTCCATACTGTTTTCCAGAGTGGCTGCACCAGTTTGCATTCCAACAGATAGTTCACGAGGGTTCCCTTTCTCCACATCCTCGCCCACACCTGTTTTTTCTTGTGTTATTGAATTTAGCCATTCAGACAGGTGTGAGGTGATATTTCATTGTAGTTTTAATTTGTATTTCCGTGATGGTAGGTGATGCACATCTTTTCATGTATCTGTCTTCTTTGGAGAAATGTCTATTCATGTCTTCTGCTGAGTTTTTAATTGGATTATTTGTTTTTTGGATGTTGAATATCTGAAGATTTTAACCATGTGAGTTTACTCACTTGTAAAACACAGCTAAAAATTCAGACTCCTTCAGAAAGCACTTGCTGACTCCTCTCATTACCTGCATGGGGTGTTTCCTGTGTTCTTGTGTCTAGTCCTAATTACTGTCCTGGAGGAATTTCCAGACCAGACAGACATTCTCACTGCGATGTCCCAGGATGCTTTGAACCCTGTAAGTTGACACAAACTCCTGATCTGTTCTTCTAGTTCAACTGTTTGTCCTCTACCAACCCTACTCCCCCACCAAACAGCACCTGCCCACCTCCTTCACTTCTTTCTTGTCATCCATGTAGTCCTACCAACTCTGACCTCTACCTATAGAATTTCTGGTCTCCCTGCCAGTGGTTTACCTTCTTCATTCATTGACTGTTGGCATCCATTGACAATGCACTGGACTATTAAACCAGTGACCTTTCAACTTACCCTCCTGCCTGAAACTGGTCGCCTTTCCAGTCCTACCTCCATATTGTAGCTTAAATTGTTGTTTTATCTTGCGTGTAGGATGGGGGCCAGACTTCTTAGCATTAGAGTAGTACACCTGACTCTTTGGAGCGAGATCCTGAATTTTTTTTTTTAGCTTTATCTTGTGCAAAAGGAATGCTTTTTTTAGTATAAGTATGTCTCATGTAATATTTAGTATAAGTATGTCCCAAATATTGTATGGGGGCATTGTTGGAAGATAGAAGAGGAACAGTAAAGTGTCCCCCAAACTAAGAAGGCAATTTTGAGACTGGAAAATGAAGCAAGCAACTTCATACAATTTACAGAGTTTTATTCAGGGTACCTTATTGATGGTGAGGGTGAGGCAGGAATGGCAAGGGGGTGGATCTGGCGGACAATGATCTATAGCAGCTGCAAAGTTAATTTTCTGCAAAGTCCAGACCTTAGTCCAGATTTTACAGAGTGAGTGGACACGGCAGAAGGGACTATCGTGAGATCAGAAGGTTGGTGGGCACCTCATTGACAGCCAGCCTTTAATTAGATCTGTGACACCACCTGTGGTATATCTAACAGATTCACGGGAGCCCCAAACAAGCCTTCCCCTGCAACCCCTATCCTAGGCTTGGCAGACATTTCTAAGGTATGTATATTAATCCCCAGGGGATCCCAAGAGGGGTCATTGAGTGAGCACAAACTAAATGGAGGACCAAAGATGGAGTCATTACTGTCAGCACTCCTGCAGACATACTAAACAATTAGTAGTTGTTTATTCAAAATTTAAATTTAACTAGGTATTTTGTGTTTTATCTGGCAATCCTACATGTCTGCTACTTTGTTTTGTAGCCTGTTCAGAAACACAGTAGTGTCTCTCTCTATGCATTTACATCTTGATTGGATCTTAAAAAAAAAAAAAAAATTGCAGTTGCAGAAACTTTGTGACTACAAAATATTTGACATTTCTTTGTGAAAACTTTTGTATCCATCTGTTCACAAAAAAGGGAGCTATACTTAATTGGGTCTCAGCAGCAACACATTTTTGCCTGAGGCACTAACTTGAAAAAACATGCTGTTTTGGAGAAACATGTTTCAGATTTAGGTTGTAGTAACGACTGTGGACCTTTTTTGAGTGGAGGGAATCCTCATTCAGGAAAATAAACTCCGGTTAAATTTAGTCTTTTTGCTTATGGAAATCTGAATAACCTCAGTTGCTATTGTTTCTTTAAGATCTTTTCTGAGGATAAAACTAAATTGTTATGCTTCAGTTTTACTTCCAGCTTTTGTCATTTTTTTTTCTCTGCAATATTTTTTTGTCTTGTGAATAACAGTTACAGTGTGATTTTCAACTTATTTTTTGTTCTGAAGAATGTTCAACTTTAATGTTAATAAGAAGCAAGGTTTCTTTTTTTTTAAACCACTTTATTTTCCAACATTAATAGAAATACCCTGCTTGTTCTCTTTATGTAAGATTTTAATTATTCTGATAATATACATAGATTTTATACTGAAACCTTCTGGTTGGACTAGAATAAAGCATTGTCAACCTTTCTCAGAAGGTTAAGACTCATAAAGAATGCCAGTGAATAAAAAAGAAAGCCCAATTAATATCCAATTCACAGAGTAAAATACAGATAGCCATACATTTAACAGATGATGTGAACCTTACTTGTAACGAGGAAGATGGACATTGAAACAAGATAGTGTTTTTTTGTTTTTTGTTTTTTTTAATTGTTGGGAAGGAAAATTTTTTCTCTGCCTTTCAAGAATCTTTTGGCTGGTCTAAAAATTAAATTGACATGAGACAGATTAATCTGGAAGAGACAAACAATTTTGTACTTTGGTGGAATCCACATAATTTCATAAGCATGAGATTCCAAAGATAGGCAAAATGAGGTATATATGTTATCCTGAACTAAGGAGAAGGGTGAAGGGGCCTGAGACTTCAATGGGAAGAAAAGCAATTCCCAGGAAGATGAAGAGGAGCGAATGTTTGATAAACAAATGTTTACTGAAGCAAGGGACGGAGAAAGGAATGTTTACAAACAGACCTTGCTCAATTCCTCTTCTCTACCACACTGAGTTCACAGTGTTCTGTGCTTCTCTATAGCAGTAGCTCTCTTCCTGGAGCAGGTCCTCTATTAAATCCATGCCCCCCTGTCTAAATTTTTTTTTAGGCAATTATCAGGGAGGTCAACATTTTTTTGAGTCTCCTAGAACTTGATTGTTTTCAGATCAAAATAATTCGCATATCAAAGTGTCATATCTTGGGGCCATTTGTTCTGAACTTATACATTATCTTTAAATTGGATGTTCACGTTGGGAATGGTGAGCAGTCTCCAATATTTCTGATGAGATATAAATTGGTACAGTCTTCAAAAGCATGGTTTGACTTTACCTCTTGAAACTTTAAAATTTGATTCCATTTCTAGGTCAGCAGTCTATCCATATATGGCACGTGTTCGATGAAGCATGCGTAACAGTGTTTACTGAGTCAGTGTGTGTAATAACAAAAAACCACAAATAACAGAAAACAAAAAATCGTCCCCCGGTGTTCACTGTGCGAATGCTTATCAGTTTTGATCTATTCTTAACCATAAAATATTAAATAGTGGTTAAAAAGTGGATTGGAATTTTACGTAAATTAATAGGGAAAGATCTCTATGGCTTATTGTTAATTAGGAAAAAACATACTGTAGAAGAATACATATACTCTTTAACAAAGTTTTTTGTTTATACACTGTATATATGGCACATACAAGTGTATGTATGTACGTATGTGTATGTGGGTATATTATGAATGAATATTAGGGATGGGGACACACTTGTAAACTAATAAAAATACCTACCAAATTGTTAACTCTTGAGGAGAGGAGTGATATTTTGGGGTGGGACTGAAGGAAGTCTTTTACTTTTTAGTCTGTATTTGCATTTTAAGAAAAATATATCCATGTATTACCGTATAATTTTTTTTAAAGTTCTGATTCTAGACATCAGAATTCATTAGACTAAGTAAAGGTGAAATGGTACATTATAGCACTATATCTTTAAAAATGATTCAGAGAGGGGTGCCTGGGTGGCTCAGTGGGTTAAAGCCTCAGCTTTTGGCTCAGTTCATGATCCCAGGGTCCTGGGATTGAGTCCTGCATGGGCTCTCTGCTCAGCAGGGAGCCTGCTTCCCGCCCCCTCTCTCTGCCTGCCTCTCTGCCTACTTGTGATCTCTGTCTGTCAAATAAATAAATAAAATATTAAAAAAAAATGATTCAGAGAAAATTAAGAAAAAGTCTTTGGAAGAGGGACTTTTTTCTCAGTCTGCATTTCTCTGTGCACGAGGTACATTTCCACATTGGGTTTTGACTTGTAGGCTGAACAAACACTTCATGACATCCCTTCCTTATCTGGCTTTCTTTTTTTTAGAAGTCTATTTATTTTAGGATTTTATTTATTTATTAATTTATTTCAGAGAGAGAGAGAGTGAGCATAAGAGCACAAGCAGGGGAGACCAGGCTGAAGGAGAGGGAGAAGCAGACTCCCTGCTGAGTGGGGTGCCAGGTGGGGCTTGATCCCAAGACCCTGGGATCATGACCTGAGCCAAAGGCAGATGCTTAACCTACCGAGCCACCTAGGCACCCCTTTATTTATTTATTTACTTTTGAATCTCTGCACCCAGCATGGGGCTCAAACCCACCACCCCAAGATCAAGAGTCACATGCTGTTCTTACTGAGTCAGCCAGGTGCCCCTCTTCACCCAGTTTGAACAGACAAATTTTTTCTTTTTCCTCAGATTCCATTTTATGAAGATATTTGTAAAGGCATTAAAGCTGGTGACACCTGTGAGAAGTTGGTGGGGTATTCTGCAGTGTACAGAGTCTGTTTTGGAATGGCCTGTTTCTTCTTCATCTTCTGCCTTCTGACCCTGAAAATCAACAGCAGCAAAGGTTGTAGGGCGCATATTCACAATGGGTAAGTCTTTGGTCTTCGAGGGTGGGGGTAGGTGGTTTGCCCTGATGTTTAGAGTACTGTTCCTCAACCTCATGCTCATCAGACCGTCTGACTACTCTTCCTCTAGTTGAAATTGTTGACACTGACCTTAGGGAAGGTGGGACTTGTCACCCCTCAGTGGCCTAAGAACTAGAGTCCTATTTGTAACACTTAGTACCACAACGAGAATTGCAGCGGAGACGAGAGTTTTTATTTCTTGTGCGAGGCCTGTCCCTACATCATCCCCCCACCTCAACAAAGTGGTATTTTGTACAATCAGAGGCTGGGTTGGTCTAATTATGGGGAAAGGCAGTCTACAGTCACTTAATTACTTCCCCTCGATTTGGAAGGAACAGTACCAACAGCAGAAACATGGGCTGACATGCTTACCTTCTAAGAGCTCTTTTGTCCTTCCATGAATATCATTTAAATACATTTCCTCTTTTTTTTTTTTTTTTTTTTTTTCCTTCCAGCTTTTGGTTCTTTAAACTTCTGTTGCTGGGGGCCATGTGCTCAGGAGCTTTCTTCATTCCAGATCAGGAGACCTTTCTGAATGGTACAAATGGGGTATTTGGGTGGTACCTATTTATTTTGTCCTTACCCATTTTGTAAAATTGTTGCAAACTGTAGTCCAGGGTGCCTTTGATATTTTGAATTAGTGATTTTCTTGTGGTTTAATAAAAAAGCCCCTCCTTCCCGGCCCTCTCTTCATCCACCCTCTCTTCTCCCTCTCCTCTCCCGGCGACACCCACTCCTGCTTGATCTCTCCCCTATTTCTTCCATTTCTGGCTGGGTGTTCCTCTGCAGCCTAGAGAATTCAAAGGATAATTTTAAGGCTATTGGCGTGAAGGGAAAAGTGGAGCACTTAAAATGTGTTTGAAAACCAGTTCGGGGCAGTCAGCATGACACCATCAGCCCTGTCTGAATGGGCCCAGGGAGGCCTTGTTCTTTCCCAGGGAACCGCCCAGGAAACCCGCCTGCTCCCGACCTTGGGCTTTTTAGCAGCTTCAGATCTGCCTGCCCCTGTGGTGAGATCAGGCAGGCTTCCTCTAGTCCTACCTGTAAACTTACCTTACGTGAAATTGGGTAACACCGAATTATGTTTCTTTTTCATAGAATTTACCAAAATTAATTTAATTTGAAGCCTTTAATCATACCTGAAACAGGGGCCTTTTTTCATAAGAGCCCGGGAGGGAAAAAAGCCTGAATTTCAGTGGTTCGAAACTCTGTTTAACCCATACGAATTCATGTGTCTAGTTCAAGTAGTAAAAACATGCACGCAGTAGCCGTCCGTAAGGAACAGCCCACAGTCCCTCAGATGGTCACTAGGGTTTGGCTAGTTTTTAGGGTCATACTAATTTTTTTGTTTTTGTTTCAAGATTTCATTTATTAATTTGAGAGAGAAAGTGCATATATGCATGGACCAGGTGGGGAGAGAAGAGGCAGAGGCAGAGGGAAAAGTAGGCTCCTCACTGATCAGGGAGCCTGGTGTGGGGCTCGATTCCAGGATCCTGCGATACCTCCGAGCTGAAGATAGACACTTCACCCACTGAGCCACCCAGGTGCCCCTAGGGTCATACTAGTTTTTGTAGTCCTTAAGGAAGTTATATTTAAGTCTTATTTTTTCCTAAAATGCTGTTAACTAGTTTTCTGTTCCCTACAGATGTACTTTTATGTATGGAAATGGTAGATTTAGGGTGGGAAAGGGCCCAGCAGTCCTCTAGTGCAGCTCAGTCATTTTTATAGACAAGCTGTAACCCAGAGGAGCAACACGGCTCACTCAAGGTTAGAGCTTCTGTGTCGCAGGGAAGTGGATCTGAGTCCCTTCTGAACCTCATTTCTCTACTAGTCTCTGGTGACTCCATGGGCAATACAGCTTGAACCCTTTTTTACCTCATAACTTGTGTTTTTTAGTTTTAGATTGTGGGTCATTGTTGATTTTATGAACGGCTGTATCTGTTAGGCTATCTGGCCAATACGGTGTGGAGGTTAAGCCCAGGTGCTCCAGAGCCACACTCTGTGTGTTCACATCCCAGCCTAGTCCTTTACTAACTATGGGACTTTGTTGATTTACATGGACTCTCCATTTTTCTCATCTGTAAAGTGGGTATAGTGGTGGCATCCATCGTATGGGATTGCCTGGAAATTAAAGGTACAAGAAGAACACGGTAAAGATAACTATAGTCCTTATTCTCCTTTGAGCTCAATGCCAGAGCAGTCACCTCAGCTCCTTTTGGACGATGGTCTTCTTTTGCAGCCTGGCGCTATGTGGGAGCCGTCGGAGGCTTCATCTTCATAGGCATCCAACTCATCCTGCTCGTGGAGTTCGCACATAAATGGAACAAGAACTGGTATGTGCATTTTGGGGGAAGCTTCCAAGTGAACTCGCCTGCTGCTCAGAGAAATTGCCCACAGGACGGTGTTGACAGAGCGGCTCTGAATTGTGCTGGGATCAGCAGCCTGCTTACGCCTCAGACAGCTGGCCCACACTTTCCCTTCACTTCTGCTCTTTGAACCTTTTCATTCACTCCTCTCCCATGCTGTTTTTCTCTCCTTTCTCCCTTTCCTTCTTCCATTTCATTTCTCTTCCCTTTTTGGCTTTTTCCCATGCGCTGTCGTTTGGGCTCTGAGTGGGCTGGCACTTCTCCGCCCTGGCTTCTTGGTTGGGATGGTGGGTGCCTGAAAACTTGGGCAGGCTTTATCGTAGGCTTCTGTCCTTAAGAGATTTTAAAAAAGAAAAAAAAAGTACTTTGGAGCTGAAAATATACTTTCTGCAAAGAATATGATAGTTGTTTACTTAAATTTTTATTGGTTCCCCCTCAACCTGCCTAAGAGTATTAGGATCCCTTCATTAGGAAGGTCTGTTGTGTTGCCTTAGAGAGCCATCCTGAATTAAAAGATGTAGAGTTCTTCTAACTGCCTTGAACATGGGATTCACATCCTAGAATAAAGTGGGAAATGCCAAACTATTAATAGCTACTTTTATTTCTATTTATTTTATTGCTGAACCACATTGAGGGAAGGGCAGCTAGATGAGGGTCAGCCCTTTGAGTGCTAAGACTGGCTGGGCTCTCTTTGTGACTCCAGGCAAGGCACTTGACTTCTTGTTGTCTTACTTTGCTTATAAAATACAAATGGAGAGGCGCCTAGGTCACTCAGTCAGTTAAGCACCTGACTTTGGCTCAGGTCATGATCTCAGGGTCCTGGGATGGAAAGTATGAGCATCAGGTTCCCTGCTCAGCAGGGAGTCTGCTTCTCCTTCACCCTCTGCCCTGTGTGCCCCCCCACCCCCGTGCTTTCTCTCAAATAAATAAATGAAATCTTTAAAAAATACATGAATGAAAATACCTATTGTACCTAATAAGACTTTTGTTATTTTGTAGATTTTCATTTGTATTGTGTTATTTTATACTGTTTTGGAAAAAAGGCAGAAAGTAATGAATGAATTTGAAATTTATTTTTTATCTTGGACAAAAAACACATGGTCTGAATTCTTTGACAATCTTTTTTTTTTTTTTTTAATATTTTATGTATTTATTGGACACAGAGAGAGAGAGAGAGAGCACAAGCAGGGAGAGTAGCAGAGGGAGAGGGAAAAACAGGCTCCCTGCTAGGAGGACCCCAGAATCATGACCTGAGCCAAAGGCAGACGCTGAACCAACTGAACCACCCAGGCGCCCCTGAAAATACTTTTCATTCTGATTACATTCCTCAGCTTGGTAGTAGTAGTAGTTTCATTTTGATTTTGGTTTTGTTTCTTTGGAGAACAAATCAAGAGGTGTATGAGTGAAAGGCTAGTGTTATCATTTTTTAATTTGGTAAATATTGGAGTAAACACTCAAATACAGTTTTTAAAATTTTACAGCACATTGAATAGTCACATAGATAGCACTACAGAAATTTATTTTGTCTAATAAAAAGTCATCCAAAATTTTTTGTAAAATTTTCACATGTATACTTCAAAATATTGAACTTTTAAAAATAATAATGTCTTCAATACTGAGTGCCCGATTTTCCCATTAAGTAGTATGTTCTCTTGAGAATACTTGCGCTTCTTCAGTTCTGATTTGACTGTTTTGATTGATTCTAAAGCCATTTTCAGAGACTAATTATTGATGCCAAGTTTTAACAGGCATTTTGGAAGAGTTAGGCTGCTGTAAAAACCTTCCAGAAACCACTCAATAAGAATGGCTTAAGAGCTTTGCGACAAATGATGTTGCTGTTGTCTCGGCCTTGAGGCTAATATCCCAACAAAATCCCTATTGTCAACATATTCATAGCTGATTTGTCTGCCTAAAATTAGGATTAAGCTAGGAAACTATTAATTCAGGTAAATTAATTTACTAGTTTTCGTGGGGCATTGTTTTTTAACAAAGACTGTTGCTTACAGGGTTAGTCTAGAAAATACAATACATCACTCCTAATGGAACAACCAAAGTACTTTTTCTTTCCTTTTCTTCTCTGTTTTCTTTTCTTTTTCTTTTCTTTTTTTTTTTTTTTTTAATTTTTTCTCTATTTATTTGTCAGAGAGAAAGAGCACAAGCAGAGGGAGCAGCAGGCAGAGGGAAAGGGAGGAGCAGGTTCCCCACTGAGCAAGGAGCCTGACATGGGATTCGAGCACTGGGATCATGACCTGAGCCAAAGGCAGACGCTTGACTGACTGAGCCACCCAAGCATCCCTTTCTTCTCTTTTTTTTTTAACATTTTATTTATTTATTTGACAGACCGTGAGAGAGGGAACACAAGCAGGGGGAGTGGGAGAGGGAGAAGCAGGCCTCCCACTGACCAGGATGCCGGACGCGGGACTTGATCCCAGGTTCCCGGGATCACAACCAGAGCCAAAGGCAGAGGCTTAATGACTGAGCCACCCAGGGCCTCCCTTTCTTCTCTTTTCAATAAACATCTTGAGAAGGAAAAGATCCCAGTGCTAATAGGCCTGAGGCCCTGGGCCCAGAAACCAGGAGACTCCAAGTGTTCATGTCCCCACTCCTCTAGTTCACTGTTTCTTTTTAGGTGTATTACTTGGCCTCTCTGACCTCAGTTTTCATACCTGCAGAGTAATATGGTCGCATTAGACGTTTAATGTGTTTTTTCCTTTCTACCTCAAATTTTGTGATTTGAAATGACAACGCTTTATCAAAAATGAAATAGCAAAAAGTAGAAGGTACATTCAGGTGTTTCTCACAAAGACCCATCTTCTAAATGTGCTAGATCTGTTATTTCCATTGTCGTTGGGTCCTACCGAGTCCCAAGCCCAAGGGCAGCCGACTCTCCCAACCTGGCACCTGCATACTATGTTGTATGTGGTTGTCTGGTCCTTTTCTCATCTCCTTCCAAGTGCTTTTTCCCGTTTAGCATTTACTCACATTTGGGGGGTGGTTTTAAGTATGTGCCAGACCATGTGGTAGGCACGGAGAGTATAAAGATAAATAAGTCATGGCACCTACGTGGGACATCTGCCAGAGCAAGCTGTCACCGAGGAGGAAGTCACGAGTCTGAAGCCTCAGGAGTGGCGGCCATTCTGCTACCTTTGCTGCACAAAGTTATGGTTTAACGGTTGATAGTCCTCACACCAGTATTCATTAAGCACATATTATCTGCCGGTCACTCCACAGCAGGAGAAGAGCAGAGAACACAGTGATGTCCTGATCCGTGGAGCTTACCTCCTCCTGTTGGGAAGGGCAGGGGCATGGGAAGAACATCAGTTTATGATCAAGCAGATAAGAAAGTAACAGGCTCAGTGGTAGAAAAGACTGGAGGGAAAGAAAGCAGGGTGTGGGCTTTGGGGAGAGCAGGGCAGGAAAAGGCTTCCCAATCAGGTGTGAGGGAGACAACCGTGAGAGATGGAAGGGGGAGAGACGGAGGCAGGACTCTGCTGGGTCCAGGCCCAGCGTGTTGAGGGGCAAACGGGCATCCTCTGTGCTGCGCCCCCTAGTGCTGAGGGGTGGGCACCGGAGGTGAGATAGGAGAGGGCATTGGTTCAGATCACGTCAGGCTTCTGGGCCCTTGTGTGAGATGGGAGGGCATCACTGGGGTTTGAAACAAGAAGAACATGACATGATGTACATTTTAATTCCAGAAAAGATTAGAGGAGGATAGAGTTGCAAGTAAGCAGGCCTGACTGTAGCTCGAACGATGATGGCAGCAGTTAGGTTCTGGTATGTTCCAGAGTTGGAACTCATAGACTTTGCTGCTGGTGATGAGGATGTGGTGGGGGAGGTGGGAGCTAGGAGAGGAAGATTGCAGTCAGAAGTTGTTTCCTTTTTGTAAAAAATTCCTCTTCTCAGGGTGCCTGGGTGGCTCAGTTGGTTAAGCATCTGTCTCCTGGTTTCAGCTCCAGGTCATGATCTCAGGGTCCTGGGATTGAGCCCTAGATCGGGCTCTGCACCCAGGGCACTCTGCTTGTCCCTCTCCCTCTGCTCCTCCCCCTGTTTGCGTGCGCTCTCTCTCTCTCAAATAAATAAATAAAATCTTAAAAAAAAAAAAAAAAAGTCCTTCATATGCTAAAAACAGCCCAAAAGACCAGTGGAGAAACAGTCTCACCCCACCCACATACTGGTCAGCTGTGTTCATCTCTTTCTACACAATGCATTCTGTTTCTCTGTCACTGATTACCGTTTGGCTTTTAGAATTTTATTTTTCATAAGTCTCATTTTCTGTCATTTCCTCTCTGTGCCTTTTATGTTAGACTAATTCTGTCGTCATTGAGTGCCTGGCTTGGTTTCAGGAATATTATGGTCATTATCATTTCTCTCTGTCCGCCTTGTTTGTCTCTGGCCGCAATAACTTTTTCATAATTAAAACATTTTAGCTGAGTTGCTGAATGCATTCCAGTTTTGTGAAAACATGAAGCAAATTGCTCTCTCTGTGAAGGTTTGTTGGAACATAGTTACGGTGGGGACGTTTAATCGTAAGGCGGACAACATTGATTCACTCCGTGCTCTCTCTTGTTCTGTCCTCTTTATTTCGTGGTTTTGAATACTTTTTTTGTCATTGTTCTGAAGAATTTCTAGAGATTATTAAACCACCACTTATTTCTTCCTTCCCTTTATTAATATGTATATAAACTAGAAAGCATATTAATCTCTGGAAGTTTCTTATTGTAAATCCTGTTACAATTTTTACTCGTTTCCAGGCTGATTTTATTCTCTTCACGCTCTCCCTCCATCCTACGTGGCATTGTTTTTGAGAAGCAGCAGATGCCTCTTTGCAGCAGAGGGATGAAAGGGCCGAGGTCAGCCAGTCTTTCTGTGAGTGAGGTTGACTCGCTGCTTCTCTCCCTAAAGTAGTAAGAGGCAGTGGCACGTCCGGGCTCCATGTTGAGCGGGGAAAATGTGAAGAGAACCCCATCTAGGAGCCACTTGTTTTTGAGACTTGCCAAAGCCCGCCACAGGATAATTCCTATTCAGAACGGGGAGGGTAGAGTCAAGTCTGTGGACGTGCATTGTAGTTGATGAACACACATAAAAACAATGTTTTCATGTTTAGAAAACATTCTGAGCCTGATCTAAAACATTTTTGCATATTTACCTATATCTTCTGGCTTTGCTGGAGCATAATTGTGGTAAAAGGATAGGTCTTCTGGACGGTTGGGTTTATCTTGGCCTGCAGCCTGAGAGCACTGTGAGTGCCTGAGAGGTGGTAAGTGTGGTCAGAGAATGGGGGCTGCATTGACTTGTCTTCTCTCCCCTCTGTCTGACCCACTTGTGGAGAAACAGGACTGCAGGCACGGCTACCAACAAGCTGTGGTACGCAGCTCTGGCCCTCGTGACACTCATCATGTACTCCGTTGCCACCGGAGGCCTGATTTTGATGGCGGTGTTCTATACACAGAAAGATGGCTGCCTGGAAAACAAAATTCTCCTGGGGCTGAATGGGGGCCTGTGTCTGCTCATTTCAGCAGTAGCCATCTCGCCCTGCGTCCAAAATCGTAAGCACGTTTTTTCCCCTTACCCCTTATTTGTATTTTGTTGTGTCTAAATTTGAGCAAAACCTCATGTTTTTGTGTTTTTAAACTATGGTCATTCCTTAAGTTACTGTGGATGGGTCAGCCATAGGAAGGGTGGGACACACTTGGGCTGAATGTGATAGCTGGCGTGCCTCGGGTCAAGAAAGATCTGAATGTGGTGAAGTCAATGAACAGGAAGGTAGATGTTACCATTATTATTATTTTTTAAAGATTTTATTTATTTATTATTTATTTATTTGAGAGGAAGAGAGACAGGGATAGTGACAGAGAGCACAAGCAAGGGGAGTGGGGGAGAGAGAAGAAGCAGGGAGCCTGCTGAGCAAGGAGTGTGACATGGGCCTTGATCCTATCATGATCTGAGCTGTAGACGCTTAACCAAATGGGCCACCCAAGTGCTCCAGATGTTACCATTATTAAATAATGTACTACAGGGAGCCTTTAAGTGGAGGATGCCTTGAGTGTGTATTAAGTTCTTCCCTGTATTCCCCGTGTAAAACTTGAATGAGAAGACTCCAGAAGGAGCTCTTTCTGGGCTCATCTTTCACCCAAGGCCTCTGGGTCAGAAATCGGGAACCATCTGGTGTAGGAGTCAGGAAACAGAAAATCCAGTCTGGCTGAGCCAGCAGCCAGCCCTGTGAGCTAACCTTCCTCAGACCCAAATCCTTTCTCAGTGAAGCCAACAGAAATCTGTAAACCTTCCTGGCTCAAGGTTGTTTCAAAGGCAAATGGAAGAGGGGCGCCTGGCTAGCTCAGTCAGTAGAGGATGTGACTCTTGATCTCAGGGTCATAAGTTTGAGCCCCACGTTGGGCTAGAGCTTACTTAAAAACAAACAAAAACCCACAAAGGCAAAAAGGAAGAGATACTGGGATTTGAAAATGCTTTAGAAAGTATAGGCCTGAGTTGTCTTTTATAAACAACTTCTGATATCTTAGACCAGAATACCATCTTTGGTTGTAGAAAGAAGTATTCATGGTCTAATTTTCTTGAAGGTATCTTACTCTACAAGAGATGAAATGCAAGTGATATCCAGGTTTTTAATAGGAAAAGGGAAAGGTGGCCAATAATGTATAGCCCCTCCAGTCATTTCTAAAATGGTGATCTAAAAAGTGAACTAGTCTTAGGGCGCCTGGCTGGCTCCATCCCGATTGGAAGAGTGTATGACACTCGATCTCAAGGTCATGAGTTCAAGTCTCACGTTTGGTGTAGAGATTAAGGAATTTAATAAATAAACTTAAAAAAGAAGTGAACTAGTATTGAATAATTTAAAGGTTTTCTGGTACTGAAAATTCCAAGTACATTATTGAAAATGAGAGTCCTAATCTCCCAGTCCCTTTAACTGATCAGTTAAGAATTTCCTAAAACATACTAGTGTTCAGAATAAACTACCATTTGGGTTAAATCCTACTTTTTAAAATAGTTATAATTTGAAATATTTCGTTTAATGCCATTAGTTGCTGAAGTGAGTCTTATTCCCGTGTCAAAGAGCAGCATTATAAAAGTCTATTTCTAGGGGTGCCTGGGTGGCTCAGTCATTAAGCATCTGCCTTCAGCTCAGATCGTGATCCCAGGATCTTGGGATCGAGCCTTGCATTGGATTCCCTGCTCGGCGGGAAGCCTGCTTCTGCCTCTCCCACTCCTGCTTATGTTCCCTCTCTTCGTCATCTCTCTCTGTCAAATAAATAAATAAAATCTTAAAAAAAAAAAAAAGACTACATCTGTACTTGCATTGGTTAGTACAGTTTATCTTATTTATTTAATTAAAAAAAGATTTTATTTATTTGTTTGTTTATTTGAGAGAGAGACGGTGAGAGAGGGAACATAAGCAGGAGTGGGAGAGGGAGAAGCAGGCTTCCCGCCGAGCAGGGAATCCAATGCAAGGCTCAATCCCAAGACCCTGAGCTCATGACCTGAGCTGAAGGTAGACACTTAACTGCCTGAGCCGCTTGGGCACCCCTGGTTAGTAAAATTTAACAATTAAAACTTGAAACAAATTTAATCGGAGGGAAGACTGGATGAACTGAGTCCTTTCATGTAGGCAGGTGGTTAAAAATTCCATCCAAAAATGATACATCCTTTTTGTCATATCCTGGTAACTCTGAATGATGGAAACACCTCATTTAATTTAAATATTAATAGGATGTTAAAGCTCTTCCCTCAATGACTGCTGAGCCCCAGTGCCTTCTTCTTTGACCTGAACTGGTATTCCCGAAGGTTTTTTGTTTTTTTTTGTCTATTGACAAGTTGAGGTTTTTCTGCTGTCATGGACTTCAAGTGTCTGATGGCCTCGTAGAATCTGGAATCCATGCCCTGTGACATTTGTTTCCCATTTACCTCACTAAGCTACATGGTCTCATTGGTAATGATGGTGAATTTTCTTCTGAGGTCTTAAGATTTGAGAACTAGTGTCCATGAACTTCAGGGGGACCAGGCAGTACGCTTAATTCAGTTGTTATTAGAGTGATGTGGCAGTAGAGGACTGCAGAACCTGGCGTCTCTAAAACAACATAGTCAGGCTTCATGGATAATTCTGCCCCTTTCCCTGTCTTTTTAGTGTTGTTTGGAAAATAATATTATTGACCTTTTCCTTCCTTCGGAGATGGGGGTCTTGGTTTGAGGAGCATCATTTGCGGATGGGGACCTCGTTTTCTTAGGCTTTCTTATTTTTGTAATTTCAGACCCTGTGTTAAAATCTGACCCTCTGATTTTTCCAGGACAGCCCCATTCCGGGTTACTGCAGTCAGGGCTCATAAGCTGCTACGTGACGTATCTCACTTTCTCGGCTCTGTCCAGCAAACCCGTAGAAGTAGGTAAGCCAGCCCGTCGCCTTAGGGAGCGTGTGCTTGCGGTACGAATGTTTTCATTGTGGAGGAAGGAATTTGAGCTGTTGTTCAGAATGTCAAAGGTGCAATTAATTGAATGGATGATCTAAATTTTTCACTAGATAAAGTCCTTAACATGGGATACGAAAATGAAAATTTCTTCTCCTGAGTCTTCCCGCTGTGTAGGGAAGACAGGAACAAAGATGGGCTGTTGAGTTTGCTTTGGGGCCTAATATGCGTTTTCTCACTCTGTGTTTTCAAGGAACAGTTCAAGGAACTCTGTGTTTTCAAGTATTTTGCTTATTTTGTGTTGTTTTTTGCTTGTTGTTAATTTACTTTTCTTCAGGTGGTCATCTCTCTGACTGCAAGAGAGAGTGGGAGGGGGGAAGCAGGAGACAGGATTTGAGCCCAGCTCTAACAGTGGCTGACTTGAACTGCTCTTCTTAAATGCTGTTTATTTATAGAGACAATAGAACATGCATGAACTTGGGAGTCAGACCGCTTGGGTTTATAGCTTGCTTCTGCCACTTCAGTAACTTGTAGAAGGTTATTTACCTCTCTCTGCCTAGATACCTTGTCTTTAAAATAAGGATTTTAATTATTATTTTATCAAGGTAATTAAATAAGATTCCTATTTTATAGGGTGGTTTTAAAGAATTCAGTGAGTGTGTATGTGTGTATATGGTCCTGGCATGTTGTAGGTGCTCTCCGTGGGTTAGCTATTGTTACTGGAGAGTGGTTGTAAAGATTATTTGAGAACTAGAAGAGCCCTGTCGTATTATAAATTGTTAATGTATGAGCCCCTTGTCAGTAAAACACCAAAAGACCATTTTTTAAAAAGATTTTATTTATTTATTTGACAGACAAAGATCACAAGTAGGCAGAGAGGCAGGCAGAGAGAGAGGGGGAAGCAGGCTCCCCACTAAGCAGAGAGCCTGATGCGGGGCTTGATCCCAGGACCCTGAGACCATGACCTGAGCTGAACCCAGGCGCCCCAAAAGACCATTTTTTATTTTGATTTCTGAACTCACTGTATTTCATTATCTATATCAGTTTTGTGATAAATGTATATATAAATGTATACACACATATATACACAGAAGTATTTATAAATGTGTGTATGTTTGGGTACATTTGATCTTTTATAAATCAAGTTAAATAAATGTGCTGTCTTTTCTCTAGAATAGAAAATTGAAGTTGTTTTCCTTTTTTAAATGTAGGAAGTAAATGTAAAGATCATCTTTAAAGTTTTACATACATGTATTGTGTGTAGGAGTTTTTTATAGTTTAGAGCTATTTATAGTGCAAAGTGGTACAATTGTAGGTCTTATATTAAGTATAGTCTATCCTAGATTTAATTCTTTTTTAAAATAGCTCTATCTTGACTCTAAGTTTATTTGTCTAGCTTCTTTAAGAATTTCTTTTATAGCTATTAATTTTTGGTTTTAGTATAGTGAGGTTTTGGGTTAGAGTGTTTTTCTCTTAAATGGCAGGTATCACTTATAAACAGAAAACTTACTTGTAGTTTCAGGCGGTACTACTTAAAGAGAAAAGTTCATATTTTGGTCAGTTAAAAATTTTTTTTTCCCCTTTGGCTTAAGAATAAAGATTCCTTACACCACAGCACAATTATTTTTGCTGTCTCAAATGTGAGTGCCAGTAATAATTGTAGTCCATCTTCTAATACTCAGAATGTGCATGTTTGTAAAATGGTTTTTATTTTTATTTATTTATTTAGAGAGTGGGGAAAGGGAGAGAGAGAATCTCAAGCAGGCTCCAGTCCCAGCAAGGAGCCTGATGCATGGGGCTTGATCTCCCAACCTGGGGATTCTGATCTGAACCGAAATCAAGAGTTGGATTACTTGGGGCACCTGGGTGACTCAGTCAGTTAAGCAGCTGCCTTCTGCTCAGTTCATGATCCCAGGGTTCTGGGATCAAGTCTAGTATTGGGCTCCTTGCTCACGGGGAGCCTGGTTCTCCCTCTCCCTCTGCCTACCACTCCCCTGCTTGTGCACACATGCTCTCTCTCTCTCAAATAAATAAATAAAATCTTAAAAAAAGAAAGAAAAGAGTTGGATGCTTAACCAACTGAGCCACCCAGGTACCCTACTTCTTGAAACTTTTAAGAAATCTAGAAAACATCAGGATATTCACATGCTATTTTTTTTAACCTTTTTTTTTTTTTTTTTTAAGATTTCAAAAATTTGTCAGAGAGAGAGAGAGAGAGCACAAGTGGGGAGAGCAGCAGGAAGAGGGAGCAGCAGGCTTCCTGCTGAGCAGGGAGCCCAATGTGGGGCTTGATCCCCAGGATCCTGGGATTGTGACCTGAGCTGAAGGCAGACACTTGACCAACTGAGCCACCCAGGTGTCCCTAAACTTTTTTTTTTTTTTTTTAAGACATTTTATTTTTAAGTAATCTCTGCACCCAGTGTGGGACTTGAACTCAGAACTCTGAGATCCAGAGTTGCGTGCTCCTCTGACTGAGCCCGCCAGGCACCCCAGGATGTGTTTGTGTTTAGCACTTATTTTTATTTTTATTTTTTTTAAAGTAGGCTCCATGCCCAATATGGGGCTTAACCTCATGACCCTGAGATCAAGAGTCACATGTTCTACCGACCATGCCAGCCAGGCGACCCCACACACTAATTTTACCCCCACCTTTGCATAGGTAATTTTATTCTCTCCTGTGGATGTCAGCAATTTCACAGACTGTAATTTGAAACACTCAGGAAGTACATACCTGGTATTGTCACATTTCTTTACATTATGATTCAGTAACTGTTAACCAGTTATACCTATTCAATACACTGGACAAAATGATACGTTTGTTCTGTTCCCTTGTAAACAAGGCTTTTGTGCACAGTAGTAACAAATGGAATTAATTCATACTGCGGTATCATTGAGGAAAGAACTTCTCTTTAAATAACTCTTCTGTTTATAAATAAACTGAATTTTTTTTAGCACTGTAGACTTAGCACATTTACAGTCCTGATCAATAAAAAGAAACAAGACATATATATATATTTAAAGAAAATGTAGAGAGGTGGCATCTGGCTGGCTCAGTTGGCAGAGCATGTACTCTTGAGCTCTGGGTTGTGAGTTCAAGCCCTGAGTTGGGTATAAAGATTACTTAAAAATAAAATCCTTTTTTTTTTCTTTTAAATTTTTATTTGCCTGTTTGAGACGGAGAGTGAGTAGAGAGAGAACACGAGCCGGGCGGGGGCTGGTGAGGAGAGGGAGAAGCTGACTCAGGGTCAGGCCTCTGGGTACGGAAGCCTGATAACCCAAACTAGGGTTAGGGTTAGGGCCTAGAGGCATGGCAACCTTGATCTGCCGGGGCAAAGGCAGGCTCCACTGGGAGCTGAGTTGAGGGCGCGGGTCAGGGGGCCTGTCATATTCCGGGTTTGTGGCCCCACTGAGTAAGGATCCTGATGTGGGGCTCAATGCTGGGACTCCAGGATCATGACCTGAGCCCAACACAGTCAATTAATCCACTGAGCCACCCAGGCACCACCTTAAAAATAAAAATTTTACAAAAAGAATAAAAGAAAGAAAATATAGAGAAAGGGACCATTATGGGAGACCCTTCCTGGGAAAGGAGGTAAGAAGTAAGCAAAGGATCATAGGATCATGACGATCCTATTACTGACAGTAAAGGGACTTCGCGTCTGGCTGGAGCTTTGGACCAGGTGGCTGTTGTAGTCAGTACATATTTGGTGACTGAGTAGCCTCAACATGCTTCTGGAGAGGATAGACATGGGGGAAACTCAACAATGTGTGCATACTACTTCTATTCAGAGCCTGCTAAGTCAACTGAAAAATGGATCTCGTTTCACTTTTTACTACTGTTTGAAGAGTACTGAAAAGAGGAGACTCTTACTACGTCATGGCACAGAGGAACCCTTTGGCCCTCCACTGGAATCTGAGGGTCTTGTTTGAAGAGGCTGCTTAGATGGGAGGGGATGCTTTTTTTTTTTTTTTTTTTAGATTTTATCTGTTTATCTGAGAGAGAGAGAGAGAGAGCACAAGCAGGGGGAGCATCAGGCAGAGGGAGAAGCAGGCTCTCTGCTGAGCAGGGAGCGTGATGTGGGACTCGATCCCACGACCCTGGGATCATGACCCGGGCCAAAGGCAGACGCTCAACCGACTGAGCCACCGTGTCCCAGGGGATGCTTTGAAATAGCAGCAATCTAGTCTGAGTTCAGTGGGACTGTAGAGTAGGAATTTGCAATAAGAAGCCTTCACTCTTCTAAGCTACCCGAATTTTCCCCAAGTGAATGTGTCTGTGAGCTACAACAGGCTTTTGTAATGAACTCTGATTGCTTTGTCTTTTCCTTGTAAGCTCTAGATGAGCACCGGAAGAATGTGACAATCTGTGTGCCAGAGTTTGGTCAGGACCTGTACAGAGACGAAAACTTGGTTACTGGCCTGGGTACCACTCTCCTGTTCTTGTGCATCTTATATTCATGGTAAGTCTTAGGAGATACTGGAGGTCACCTTTGCAGACTTTAATATTTTGGAGGAAAATTTAAGTAAGCTTTAGCAACGGCGAAGTAGCAAAACAAATCCCAGCCAAGGAAGACGGAAAGTAGATTGAACTAAAAAGTGTGTCTCACAGCATCGAACCTCAGTGTTTGGACTTCATTTTCCTGACTTGTATTTGTGCAGGTAACTGTAATAGATCTATAGTACATTGCAAGCCTTGAGGAAAGGGTTGAATATTCGTTGCTAAAGCATTATTGGAGGGCAAGGGATTACAAAGTGGGGAAGAAATGGTTTGTGCCAGAACGTTTTGGCAGCTTTCTAATCCACGGGAAATACCGTTTGTTCTGCTGCTGATGGAAAGAGTACAAAGCAGTACATACATGGTCATTTTGTGCTTGGCCCAAAAAGACAGGAAATGTCCCCTTTCTTTTATAAAGCCGAAACCCACAATGCTGTTAAAGCGGGCTGTATTTCACGTGCTTGTTCGTGGTGGGGTTGGTGGCCCCTTTATTTAGAATGTTTAAAAGATTGCCGGGGGAAGGAAAGTAACGGATAGAAATTACTGATTCTGAGTACACATTTCACTGATAATGAAGCTTCCCTTCGGCAGTGACCTTTTCACATTGAGGTTTTACTTCTGTGTTTTATGTTTTATTTGTTAGGTTTCAATGTATAAAAATTTCAACTTGTCATGGGTGCATTATGGACTTCTCTGGTAGAAACTGAAGAATCCTGGTGGTGCTAGCTTATGTAAATAAAATGTCTTTCTGTGCACGCTGGCATTTTCTCTTACAGCTCCCACACTCCCTCCTGTTAGAAAGGGACCTACAGACAGACATTTTGGAGACAGGGGAACTGTCTCCAAAGGGAGACAGGGTTTTTAGAGTACTTGTTGAGTCACGTGTTAGGCCACGGAAGTCCCTGCTTGTGTTGCAATGATGGTCCCATGGAAGGGTCTATAACACTGGTCCTCATCCTGTCCCCCACAGAGTGACAGATTGTCTTTGCAGCGGAAAGGACCACATTGACCATGTCTGGCCTTTCTTTTCTATTAATTCCATAGTTGTTCACTCTGTACCTACTCTACCCAAAGCAGTGGATAGGATTCGGGCCCAAGTCAGTGAATGTTGTCAGGAAAACCATAAAGCCACCCAAATTTTGAATGCTGATTTCCAGCTCTTCTTTTTCTGAATAAGCTCTTCCTTCCTGAGTCTGTTTTTAGTGGGCTTTGGAGGGAAATAGCAGCAGCATGGCTAATTTCATCACTTATCCTTCGGGGTTTTTTCTGTATTGGCACATAAGAAATACTGCAGATTATGTGAGGCGAAAGTAGATTACTAATGAGTAATTACCACTGACTTCCCGTGTTGCACAAGGGCTCCCGGAGCTATGAGGTTCCTGGAGGGCTCCCCCTGTGCGGATACTGATATCCGTCTCCTCCTTCCAGCAGGCACCACGGTGTCGCAGTTTAATTACTAGCATTTGGTAACGTCTGTTGTTGGCATTTACACAGATTCCAAGTAGCTACGGTCGGCTTTGAAAATTGTTATCTTTTGGGAATATCAAACTAGTTCTACCAGCCTCCACTGTGGAGCCTCTAAATTCCGAAAGAAGTGAGGTTTTCTTTCTCATCTCTTACTCAAGAGTGGCAGTGAAAATCTGACAGGGTGAAAATTCCGTGCTGCAAAGTAACACCACGTGGCAGGTCTGTCAGCCCATGAAGTAGAATCACTGCCATCTTTCCACTGAGGGATTTATAGCAAATCGCAGCCCTGTTTCATCCAAGCAGCAAACACTTTTTCTCATGTGTGATTAGGCATTCCACAGCCCACAAAAACAGACCATTTTATTCTGTCAAATATCTGTAGAGTTTTTTTTAGTGATATAAAAACAAACAAGAGACATGGTACCTCACCATAAAACAGTGGTGATTTTTTTCTATATATGTAGACACAACTATGTATTTTTAATATATGTTTTTAAAGATTTTATTGATTTATTTGAGAGAGAGCATGTGTGCACAAGCAGGGGAGCAGTAGGCAGAGGGAGAGGGAGAAGCAGGCTCCCCACTGAGCAAGGAGCCCAATGCTGGACTCGATCCCAAGACCCTGGGATCATGACCTGAGCCTAAGGCAGACGCTTAACTAACTGAGCCACCCAGGTGCCCCATTTTTTTTTAAGGAATTTCTAGAATTTTTTTCCTTTCCTTTTTTTTTTTTTTTTAAGATCTTATTTTTTAAGTGATCTCTACACCTGATATGGGGTTGAACTCACAACCCCCAGATGAAGAGTTGTATGCTCTTCTGACTGAGTCAGCTGTCCACCCCAGGAATATCTAGAATTCGCGAGAGAAATTGTAGGAAGCCTAAAGACTGCATAGGGTGAACATTACATGTTGTTACCGTAAGTCCCAAGGTTGCTTATGTTTGGGGTTAACTTTTTTGTAAGCTCCTAGAAGGCTTACTGTGCGATCTCCTTATCTGCTTCTTTAGGAGACTCCCGTGCTGGCCCCCGCGCTCAGTTTCTGTTCTCTGTCCCAAGTCCTGCTTCTGGGGCGCTCACTCTGAGTATGTTTTATCTTTGCTGTCTTAGCTTGAAGGAACGGCTCAACCTATAACTACTCCCTGGCTTTTTAGCTGAGGCCACTCTTTCTCTAGACGCCCCTTCTGTTGTCCCCAGGCATTATTGCTATGAAGAAGTATCACAGCTTGGACTCCAGGCAGGGGTTCCCTAATGGCCTTTGTATAGGTCCATCCCCCTGACACACCTTAGGTCCCAGCCTCCACTAAACTATTCCTTAATTCTCTCCTTGGTCTTTAGATTTTGATTGAAATTGTTATTTTGTTGGCTTCAAGTTCACACCGTCCAGCCAGGCAGGATCCTGGAGTCAGTGAGGGAGCCTCAGTTCCGTCATTGTACATCAAAAGGAAACTGAAGAGCATAGAGCCTATTTCTGTGATTCTCTACTCCTAGTCTCAGGGACCCTCTCCTTGAGTCTCCTGTGCTAGGGTGCTGGGAGAGAGGCAGGTTCAAAGTAGTTTTTCCCCCTGGGATTGTTTGGAGTAAGGTCTTTCACTGAGGTTCAACGATAAGCTGGGTGCCTTGCCTCATTTTATTATTAGAAGGTATTTGTGCTATAAAATGGCCCCAGCTATTTCAGTTTTAACCATGCTTATGAGAAAAATAATTATTTATTATTTAAATGTTTAGGAATTTGAATTTGAAATGAGAAAAACTGAGAATTCTTATTAAATGTGAAACAATTTGCTAATTCAAAATGAAACATTCATGGCAATAAGGCCAACCGGGTAGAAATAAGGACATGGTTGGTAAGAGAATTGGAGAGAAGATTGGCTTAAACCAAGAAGAGTTGGCAAATCATGGTGTCTGTCCTTTTGGTGCGTTCTGTGTCTGCTACCTTTATTTAAGAAAGGAGGTCTAGTTAAGAAAAAAAAAAAAATGAAGAAGGAATATACAAGCTTTATTTTGAGAATCCTGCTGCTCCCTCACCTACCAGCTAAAAATCTTCCTGGCTGTACGTTAGGGACATGGCCAGGCCTCCCCCCTCAGTTCACATAGGACTGTCATCTCCTTTGGGAGCTGTGAGTCACCAGTTATACTGTGCATCGGGGACATAACTGAACTTCACACAAAGGGTGGGACTAGTCATGAGATCTCCCGAGGGCCCTGTAAGTTTGTCAGGGAGGAGAATCCGTGGTCTCCCAACAGGAAAGTCTGGACCTGTTCTCTAGAGATTTTCTTTGATCTAGGAGAGTTTGGCCAATTCCAAAAGCAGCTGAAGCAGGTGCGGAGGGCCACCTGCATTTTGAGTCATTCTGCCAATACAGAAGAGGCCCTAGGCATGGCAGTGATGGTGGGGGGATGGGCAGACGGGAGACAATTTTTTTGCTTTTCGCAATAGCTTCAAGGCACTGCTGGATTCTTGTGAGTGGGGCCTAGAGATAGTCAACGGGCTATGACTTGTCTGTACAGTGAAGCTCTGTCCCAACCAAATGTGGTCATTGTCCTTCCGTGCCGCACAAGAAGCAGTGGGTGAAAGTTGCTCTTGCCTTAGCCCTGGAAGGGAAGAGCTTCTGCATAATCCAGGAGTTGTTGTTTAGCAAAGTGTCTTGCACTCACCAAACAGAGGGGTCTGAGTAATAGAGTGCAGACAATAAGAATTTCCTAAGCTTTTAAGGAGTTTGGAAAAACAGTGTGTCCTTGTTAATTCCAAGAAGAGTATTTTATGGGTGAAGGCCATGACTGAATTATAATAGTATTTTATAATGGCATCTTACTTGTAGAAGTTCTCTGTCATTAATGATGAACTGAATGCAGGTATTTATTTGTTTTTAAAACTAAATTCAATTAATTAATATATAGTGTGTTATTAGTTTCAGAGGTAGAGGTCAGTGATTCATCAGTCGTACGTAACACCCAATGCTCATTACATTACACACCCTCCTCATTGCCCATTACCCGGTTACCCCATCCCCCCACCAACTTCCCCTCCAGCAGCCCTCAGTTTGTTTCCTAGAGTTAAGAGTCTCTTATGTTTATCTCCCTCTCTGGTTTCATCCCGTTTTATTTTTCCTTCCCTTCCCCTATGATCCACTGTTTTGTTTCTTAAATTCCTGTAATGAGTGAGATCATATGATAATTGTCTTTTCTGATTTATTTCGCTTAACATAATCCACATTGTTGCAAATGGCAAGATCCTGCTCTTTTTGATTGCTGAGTAATTGAATATAGGTATTTAGAAAAAAGAACAAAAGCTTCCCCATTCAGTGCTCTCTGATGATGGAAGTAAGTTGGCAGAGGTGCCAGAATCAAAAGCTTTGTTGTTCTTGAAACCATTTTATTCCAAAGAATTTGCAAAAGTACAGTATTTATTCTAATGCTTTTAAAGAAAGAATACCATCCTTTAGGTGAAAATTGGAGAAAAAATTGATCTCTTTCTAAGAAGTTACATTTTCCTCCACAGAAATGATACACTATTAAATCATAACTCACATACTGAAAATACAGCACGCTTTTACATGCAGGAGCGAGGGGAATGTGTTTCTTGGGTGTACCGCCATCGGAAAGTATCTCTAAAATTCCTCTGACAAGGCTTGAAGTCAGGAAGCGGGAGCGGTTGGGCCTAGATCGGCATCCCATCTGTTTCGTGCAGAAGTGAAAGTGATGCTATTGGACTTAGTGGCCCACAAAGGAAGCAGTGTGCTTGGATCCCAGAGGACCTTTTTGTGCGGAAGGCTTTTTATTGTTTATTTGCATTTCATTGATCTCTTCTGTCTTTGAGAAGGAGGATGAGAATGAGCAGAGAAGGCAGTGTTGCCTCATGGGGTTTATTTGGTTGAAACGAGTCTGCTAATTCCTGCTTCTCCCATGGCCACACCCCCACCTACCCCCAGGCTGGGACAGAGGACGCTAGAGGTTAGAGACTGTTGTCTTTTTCACTGAGTCCCCAGGGCTTGGAACAGGGCCTGACACATGGCAGGCCTTCAGTAAATATTTGCTAAATGAACTTACAGAGTTAGCTGGAACCCTGAGTGTTATATATATTTCTGTTTGCTTAAAATGTTCCCTTTTTCCCCCCAAAAGAAATACCTCTTTCACCCCTATAAGCCAGATTTTATAATATTTTACTCTCTGGGTATAGGGAGAGTGGCGAGAAGAATTTTTTTTTTTTTTTCCCTAATCACACTGATAGCTAGTCTGTTGAATTTCTGAACAGAAAACCTTGTTCTGCCAAAGGCTGATTATCATAGTAAATAACTGTGACCTTTGCTTTCCATGCCTTTGCCTTTTTTGTTTTAATGCCATCTCTGGGTTCTTTCATTGGTTTTGATCCCTTCTAAGTGAGACTAATCAAAAGTTGTAGAAACATAAAATGGAAATCAGAAAATCCTTTTGGCTTGGTGTTTTGAGGGAGGAGAGGTGAAAATCGAGATAATAGGACCAAAAGATACCTTATCTCTTTATTGACAAACTTCTCTGGCTTAGAATGATCTAATGCAATCTGTGTAAAAAGACAACTGTAGAAATGGTCTGTCAGTTTTGGAGTAAAGCGGAATTTTGAAATAGACAATTCTTTTTAAGGAGCCAGAGCTGGACACCATGAGCCTCTCATGAGAGCACTGGCCAGGGGGCTCTGCCCTTCCTCGGACGGAATATAATGTGTGTGTTTGTTTCTTAGCTTGACATCGACAACAAGGTCAAGTTCTGATGCTCTGCAGGGGCGATACGCAGCTCCGGAACTGGAAGTAAGTTCATTTCCCTCCCTTGCCCTACTTCATCTCAGAAGACCCATTTTTCAGGAAGGCTCTTTCTGTGTGTTTGTGTCTTTATTGATCTGCATTCCATGATCCCATTTTTCTCCTCAGGAAAGAACACAATTTTTGTACAGAAAAAAATAATGTAGAGACGATGGGATTAAAATGAATCTTTGATTTTCATCCAACAGAATCAGCCTCTAGTGTGGCCTTGCTCCCCCTCTGGGTTGCTTTGTTGGGCTGCTCTCTGCGTTTTCCTCCTGTCATAATGGAGTGTGTGTGTGTGTGTGTGTGCGTGCGTGTGTGCGTTAACTTCTAGTCCATTCTTCTCCAGAACAGCTATTACACATAACCTTACGGTCATGCTATGTATGAAGGCCACAGACAGGTATAACACAGAAGGGAAGGAACGAGCATCCCTCCCTGCCACACTGCTGAGCGTTGTCTACACGTTAGCTTGTCTCATTGCGTCGGTTCGGTCAGGTGGGCATTTCTGGGTAAGGACCTGGGAGCAGTAGAGGTCCAGAGAATCAGGGGGTTTAGCAGTAGATGCCTTTTGGTTAGCAGGAAGCCTGTCACTTCCTTACTTGTGCCACAGTCTTTTGCGGAGGCCCTTGGAACATCCATCAAGGTCAGAAAAGGGCTAATCCCGTGGAGGCAGCCGGGAAAAGGCTGACCCCAGGGATGGAAGGAATACAGGGTTCCAATAATGGCTGAGACCACAGCACTTGTTACATGCCAGGCGCTGTTCTAAGCACTGTATTTGTGATCGCATTTCAACCCTGTAAAAACCCAGTGAGGGCTTTATAAACTCTGTTTAAACAGAAGGGAGAGACAGAAAAGTTACTTAAGCTTCTGATTTGCTGGCACTGTGACCTGGGCACCCTGGCTCCTGAGTCCATGTTCCCGAACTCTGCTGCGAGAGCTCAGTGCCGGCTCCCAGCCCTGCTGCAGACCCCGCCTGACCCCCCAGCCCTCCACCCCCCCTTGCCGTGTCCTCAGAGCTTTCCCCGGATGGAGGAGCCCTGGTATGTGTCCAGATACGGACACTCTTCTCTGCAGCTGGGGCTGTGGGGACGGTCTCTCCTGCACCTGACCTGGAGACAGTGAACATTATGAAGGGTTGTCAGGCTGCCAGCAGCATTCAACGGCTCTTTCTGTCCCTTAAAAAAGGAGAAGGCTCTGCTGAGTCTGAATAGGTTACTGCTTCCTACACAGAAGAGAAGGGTCTCTAGAAGGGACGCGTTTGTTCTCACCACGGCCGGGTGACCACCTGCTGGCTGGGGTTGTGCACAGTGGCTTCAATATCCCTATTGTGCAGAGCGCAAGCCCGAAGAATAGCACGTCCCCGAGTTAGACTGAAGAGGATGTTTTTTTTCTCGTGCTAAGGAAAGTGTCCCAGTGTTTTCTTCTGACCTGGAGAGCATGCAAAACGGAAGTTGGTTTGCTCTCCTTTGTATCAGGTTTCGCAGGATATACCTTTGAAAGAGAGAGTTAGTAGTTTCTTATGCTAAGTTAAGTTTCAGAAGAACCAGGACCCCAGGATACCATGTCTTGAGCCCCTTGCGTGATTAGTGGATCTTAGACTGTGTCACCTGATCCAAGATTCTGTCAAGTCCATTCCCTCTATTAGAAGTGTCCCTGATGTAGTAGGGAAACAGGGGTTTGGCCTTGCGGCATATAGGCTGGAGCTCCTATGTCCTTGTCCCTGGCTCTCTGTTCTTTCCAGTACAAATACTGTCAGCCTGAGAGTGCCAAGGACCCAGTACTTCCCAGCTGGTCTTGCTATGTGGAATGTTCCTTTTTATTTGTTTGTTTGTTTAAGATTTTATTTATTTGAGAAAGAGAGAGAAAAACCATGAGCGGGGGAAGGGCAGAGGGAGAAGCAAGGATCCTGATTCCCCACTGAGCAGAGAGCCCAATGCAGGGCTCGATCCCAGGACCCTAAGATCATGACCTGAGTCGAAGGCAGACACCCAACCGACTGAGCCACCCAGGTGCCCCAGCGTGTAATGTTTCTTACTCTGGTTATCAGAGTCTTTCTGAAATCATGTATTAATTTTTTGTAATCCAGTTTTTTATTAGTTTATTGTTTTGACTAGGTCAGAAACATGGTACAAAATTTAAAAGGTGCCAGAGACTCTTCAAAGGAAAGTATCCCCTCCATCCAACCCGGTCCCCAGCACCTCTGCCTCTGTAGAGACAGGTAGTTGAGCAGCCTGATTTCTTCGGCAATGTAGGCGGACCTCCTGCTTCCAGACCTCTTAGCTTGACCATTTCTGATTCTGCCAGTTCCACTGTCTCCCACACCTAGCAAGTACAGCAAATCGTCACCAGGAATGAGCTCTGTGGTGGGGGGACCAGTCTTGTTCACCTTGTGTTTCAGGCTGAGTTTTCCAGAAGCAGCTGCCAAGGCAGAGTTGAGGTGCAGGGTGTCCCTTAGGGATCAACGTTGGTGGAAGGGAAGGAGGCAAGATTGGGCGAAGTTAAAAGGCCCCAGAGGTGGGACAAAGCCTCTGTTGACCCCTTCAGTGCCCCAGAGCAGATATGACCCATCAGAGCTGTCGCCAAGGGTCAGTGGCTGCACCTCTACCTCCCTGCCTCGAGCAGCCAGTTCAGCGTGGGTTGCCTGAGAAGGCTGGCCCTGTGGCTGAGGGAACGCCTGGGAGCTGCCGTCTAGAGGCTGTGCCCAGCACTCCCAGGGAGCTGAGTGAGCACTAAGTGAGCACCACTGAAGGGGACCTGGGTGGCTCACCTCCATGTCTGTTTCCTGTCACCATCACTGAAGCACTTGGGAAGAACAGATGCTTAGTCAGATCCTTTGAAAGGGGTCCATGAGCGCAGTTCTGAGCCTGGCCTCGGGTTCGCACGGAGGGCTTGACACAGCATAGGGATGGCCTTCATGCCTTCCTGACGGTAGAAACGCCACCTGACGCTGTTGGGTTTTGCCCTTGCAGGTAGCCCGCTGTTGCTTTTGCTTCGGCCCTGATGGAGAGGGTAAGTAGACAACCTCCCTCCCATGGTCTAGTCTGTAGGTGTTTGGGATTCACACCCGGATAACTTGAATGGTAAGAGGAAGGTTTTCTTCCAGAGCTGGTATACTGTTGCTCTACTTTCACATTCTTTCTGAGCGATCGATCGCTGGCTGTATTCATGTTGGTATTCTGGCCGGCTCATATGTAAGGTAAATTCTAAGTGAGACTTAGAGGAGGGAGTACATTTTCCAAAGGAATGAAAATTTTGAAAATTTCTCTGCTTTAACTTCTTTCTTTCTTGGACTGGAGCATCCTGGGGCTTGAAAACACTTGTCATGCCCTTTCACTTCCCTCTGAGCTGAGCATGGGTTTTCCATTTATATGGGCTCTCTTCTGCTCTGTTCAAATGAATGTGAGGTTGGGAAACTTACCCTGTGCAGAATGGTCCTGGGGGTGGGTGAGGGTTCTGCACAGAGGGTGTGGATGAAATCGCCTGAGGCTACACATGGCTTCTGCCATCTTTCTCTACTCACCAGCCCCTGGGGTGGAAATGAGTGAGCGTGGCTCTGCGGGGGCAGCAGGCGTGCATGTGTCCACTCAATGAGCTTGCGCTCGCTTTGTGCCTCACAGACACTGAAGAGCAGCAGAACGTGAAGGAGGGACCGCGGGTCATTTATGATGAGAAGAGAGGCACCGTGTATAGCTACTCCTATTTCCACTTCGTGTTCTTTTTGGCTTCCCTCTATGTGATGATGACCGTCACCAGCTGGTTCAAGTGAGTGGCCCATTGTCTTAGACATTTAAGAAGGGACAGTCGTTAGACAATCAAGTTAAGTTCTATTCTTTAAATGCTGGGAGCCACACTGAGTCCCAGATCCAATCTCCTGGAGTCATTTAACTCTTCTCCAAGTCCTGCTGTGCTCACCTACACGGAAACAGTCCTGGGGTCTCAGCAGTCAGCAGACATGCTTTTAATCCTGGGACTTCCTGATCCTCATGCCCCACAACCCGTGCTATGGTAGCGCATATTCCTTCATTCCTTTTCTGTGCATTTACAAGCCTGTGCGATTTTTTAAAAAGATTTTATTTATTTATTTGACAGACAGCGAGAGGGAGAATGCAAGCAGTGGGAGCGGGAGAGGGAGAAGCAGGCTTCCTGCCCAGCAGGGAGCCTGATGTGGGGCTCGATCCCAGGACCCAGGGATCCTGACTGAGCCAAAGGCAGCCCTTTAACAACTGAGTCTCCCAGAAGCCCCCAAGCCCGTGCAATCTTTAAAACATAGATACAATTATATGTGTTTCCCCTTGAGCTTTTTTTTTTCTTTTGCTTTGTTTTGTTTTTTAAACTTGGTAATCCATGATGGATCTCACTTTCCCTGTCACTACATAGAAATTCTTTTTAATTCTTTTTGGATCATTTTTCACTGAACCAGTTTTGTGTTATAACTCAGAATATGCATGGGATAGACATTTAGGCTCATTGTGCTTTATTTTATGCATTCACGCAGCAACTATCCAAGCAGTTCCTACATGCTGCCCCTTTGTAAATGGCTGGCTTATAATCTAGTGGAGGAGACAGCCTGTGATCCAAATGCAGTAGGCAGATGGCACTGACTATTAGGGAGAAAAAAGAGGAAGAGGAATGAGGAATACCAGGTGGGGCTTGGGGATGCTGCGGCCAGCAGAAGGCTTCGTCGGGAGATTTTTTCCAGAATATCCTAGGAAGAAGAGAGGAGGAGGAAGCTTCTAATGCATCCCCAATGCATCTAATGCTTTGGTAATTCCTGGCAAGTTTTGGCATGGCAAGCTTGATGGAGGGGCCTATAATTAATAAGGCAGAAAATAACAGATGTTGTCAAGAATATGGGAAAAATTAGAATCTTTTACAAAAACTCCTGCTAGGATCGTAAACACAGTGCAGCCACTTTGGAAAACACTTTGGCAGTTCCTCAAAATGTTAAACACAGTTATGGTAGGATCTGGCTGTTCGAATCCCAGGTATATTCCCAACAGGAAGAAGAAGTGTAGTCACACAGAAACTTCTACACACACGTTGATAGTAGCATCACTTATCACAGACAAAAAGTAGAAGCCTCCCAAATGGCTATTAGCTGATGAATGGATAAACAAAATACGTTATCTCCATACAGTAGAATAATACTCAGCAATAAAAAGGAATCAAGTATTGATCCATGCTACAACATGAATAAATCTTAAAAACAAGTCACAAGAGGCCACATGATTCCATTTATATGAAATATCCGGAATAGGCGAATCCAGAGAGACAGAAAGTCAAGTAGATCAGTGAATGCCAGGGGCTGGGAGGAGGTGGGGAAATGGTGTACACTTTAAATAATGTTAGTCGTATCTGAATCGAGCTGTTAGGAAAAAGAAAATAGAACAACAGAAAGACTGGAGACTATGGGAGCAGGGAGACCCCTTCTGGAAGAGACCTCCCCTCTGCCTGTTCTCTTCTTGCTCTGACAACAGTTGGCTCTTGTTTCCACAGCTATGAAAGTGCCAACATCGAAACCTTCTTCAGCGGAAGCTGGTCCATCTTCTGGGTCAAGATGGCCTCTTGCTGGATGTGTGTGCTCTTATACCTGGCGACCCTGGTCGCTCCCCTCTGCTGTCCCTCTCGGCAGTTCTCCGTGTGAGGAGGACCTGAGCCGGCCTGCAGGTTGGAAGTGACATGCTTTGAAGAAGTGTCCCAGGGGTCTGAGCCATGACTGGTGCTTTGTGAAAAGCTGGCATCCTCTGGCTGGTTTGAGTGAATCTGAAAAAGGCTTTCAGAGGGGAAAAAAAAAAAAATCACCTGATTGACTTTTTAATTTGGAAAATCAAGAGAAAGAACCATTTTACTCCAAAAGAATTGAAATTCAAATCAATCAAGCTGATCCTGAGGGATAATATATTTTGTGTGTGTCTTAGCCCTAAAAACTGGAATAGAAATTAGGCTAGTATTTTCCTTCTGTATGTTATTTTTTTGTTTTTGTTTTTGTTTTTTTACCAAAACAGAGTTTGGGGCACAACAGGGATAAATCTGCCCTTGTCATTCTTATCCTTGGAATAGAAAAACTTGCCAAAATCTCAAGCCCTCAGCCCCTGACAGAATGCAGACCCCTGTCACGCACCTCAGCCGGGACCCTCGTCTGCAGCGGGCTCTGCAGCCAGCACTTGTCCTGCTGCCCCCAGCTACTTGGTATTTATAGGGTACAAGAGGAAGCACCTGCTTTGAACTCCACCCTTGTGCTGTTTCCTCCTGGTCCCTAGACGTTTCCCTTTGAGGCTGTGGTGCTGGGAATCACAACTTCACTCTCTACCCTTGCCCTTCCCAGAGGTCCCCCATCCTGTCTGGCCTCGCCGTCTTTGCTATAATGTGAAAAAGCACAATTTGCCGTCATTACCGTGTGGTTCCCCCACTGTACTATTCGTTCCTGATCCGAGTTCCGGCAATAATCATGACTCCTGTTTGTGGTGGTGTTCACATGATTATAGAACAATATCCATGTTGTTTTCTTTGCCTGAACGGTGGAAGGCTATCGTTCTTACTTGTTTCTACTATTAATTTTAACAGTACTCTAGGACCTTACCTGAAAAGTCGCTTCTTGACCGAAGCCCACGGCACCTCTCTTTTTTTGTGAAAGTCAGCCAGTTTCTTTTCCACCTTGAGGCCTTTGAAGTTATAAAAGCATAAGGGCTCTTGTTTCCTGGATCTGGAATGTGAATGATAATACTCACTGTGGTTTTTGGAGTAAATTTGCTGAGGTGAGGATTCCAAGCAACACCTCAAACTGGGCTGACCAGATAAGGCCTATTGTACAAGTTGTTGAAGTGGCCAAATATACTTAAAAGAAACGATGGGGGGTTGGGGGTTGGGGGATGGGTAGTGGGGAGGTGGGTATTTAATTAAGCCATAAGCAACATCCACGGAGATTTCCAAAAATACAAACTTGTAAAGTAATCCTCGTAAGAGATTTGACTTTACGCAGCTGCCCAAGAAGATACTCATGTTCAGTGTTGATGTCTGTCCTCAGTCAGGGAAGAGTTTTCTCAGCGGAAAGTCCGTCAGGGACCCAGTGGAGATGCAGTGCGGAGGCTCCTGTGAGTGCCCTGTAAGGGTGGAGAGGGTCCTCTCGAGCTCTCTGGCACAGAGGGTCTGATACTACACTTGATCTTAGCCAAAAGGCCGAGAAGCGATGGCACAGAGGGTCTGAGAATAGAGATACTTGGCCTGTCCTTTGTTTATCCTGCCGAGTTGGGCAGAATCGGGTCTCAGTGTGCCAAAATGCTGGCCTGGAGAATTAGATTCTTCATTTCTGCTCCTTTGCCCTCCTCCCAGGAACACAAGCGGGGAGACAAATTCAGTGGACGAATTCTTCTAGAATCTTGCCTTATTTCTCATGTTTGAGATTCCGTTTTGAAAGGCACTCGTGTATGAGTGAGAGCCTTGTTTTGCAAACTTTATCCAATTTCTTATTTTAGGCCAGAAGTTCTTCGAGCTTGGCAGTTGAAAGGTCCTCTGGCGTCACAGAATGGAAAGCCGTCACACGCAGCCCCTGTTAAGCCCATCAGCCTGGGAGCTCTGTGGGTCGGGGACAGTTTGAGGGACTGGGCTGTGTGTGGGACCCCCCGGCAGGAACTGTGGCAGTGGCTGGCACGGTGACACAGGGCAGTAAGCCGAGAGTGGCTTTAGGAAAGACCTCGAGAAGAGTCCCATCAAAAGCTGGGATGCTAGTTTTATTGCGTTTTCTTCCTGCCGAGTCTAGCTGCTTTGGGCAGCCAACTATGTGACTTGAGAACTGGCCTCAGGGCAGGTCACGGTCCAGCTGACAAGGCTCCTGTTCCTTGGCTGGCCTTTGTTGGCAGGCTTCCCCTGCAGAAAGAAGCTTAGGGAAACAGAAAGGAAAGGACATTCGTTGCCAGTGGCAGGGCCCTCAGAGTTTCCTTCTTCAGCTGGCCCAGCCAAACCGTGCTCGCCAGCTGCTTCAAATTAGTTTGTGGCCCAAAGTTCTTCTTGAAGTGTAGTCTGATGGAAGACATAGAGTTGCAGTCACTCTGATTTTTATCCTCAACAGAATCGAAGCAAGTTTATCTGAATGATGGGAGAGATGTGAATATACTCGAAGGACTGAGGGCATATAAATAAGTTGACTTTAATGATTATTAATTGTTATAAACAGTACTCAGGTGATGAGTTAATGTTTGTGAGTATAAAGAACCTACATTCTCGTGCTATTGTGATTTGAGAAACTGGAAAAATTGTGTCAATTGCTTTCAGTTGCTGTAATGATGCTGTTCATTGGATAAGTTCACTGATCTCTTTTTAAAATAATTTTGCTTCCTCCACCTTTCTGTACATGATTTTAAAAAGTACATTCCCAGTAGCTGCTGGTCAGACTCCTTTAGTGATGTGAAAGAAATTTTTTTTAAAAACTATGTATATGTTTCTTTTGTGCTATTCCTTAGATATGGAAATATTTTCCCCTCTCATTTTCATGAGTAAAAACACTAGGTGGGGGAAGGGATTCTTCTGGGAATGTTGCTGTATACCTAGATGGGTTATCTGAGTTAAGGCTGGAGACTTTTCTGTCAAAAGCTTTTGGAAACCCGATTCGGTCCTTACTGGGTTGAGTTTTTTGTAATAATGGTTAGCGGGTTTTGCTTTTGTCCTCTCCGTTCTTGGGAAATAGCTTGAAAGAATTGTTCCCCAGAGGTGTTTGGGGCTCTTTCTTGGAGTTGAAGGACTGTGTGCATGTGGGCTGTTGGACGGAGGGGTTACGGAGATTTGGGGTTCTGGTGCCCATCAGGAATGGCCAGCAGTTGGGCCCCCCACCTCATTTTTTAAAATTTCCAGTTCCTCAGAGGATCCTTCATTCTGGGTGACCTTCATGTAGCGCTAATCCCCACCCTCACCCCCCTATTGTCCCCCTCTGCCTATTTAAGATTATGTACTTATTTAATTTTAGCCAAACGTTTATCACCATTGGTGCTTCATGTTACCCTGCAAAGGGAATTCCAGAGCCTTTGTTTAAGCCACCTGGGCTTTTTTTCTCCTTTGACTGCCTTTCTAAATAGCATTTCATTTCAGTGTATATTTGTGTTCTACACCTCTTGGAAGTGAAATCAGTTTTAACCTATAATGAAGAAGGGTGTGACCTTGGGCTACGACCCTGCCTGTCCAGAGAGAACACTGGGTCCTCCTTAATCAGGGACAGTGCAGGAGTCCCTCAGCTCATGGAATTCTCTGTAGGATACTCTCCTAATAGGACTAACTCCCTCTGCTTTTTTTCTTAAGGTCACCATGTTTCCCGCCTTCTTTACAATGCTTGTAAAGCCTCAGACACATTCATCTCGGTGTTGCATTTCAGGCAGAGATGGGCTCTCATGTTGGACCTACGCTACAGAGCTAGAGAGCTGTTTACATAGATCTTTCCAACTAACGGCTGGCCATTCTAGAGATCTTTACCTTTTAAAAATTTTCTTCCTCAGTAAATCATTTGCAGAGGCATTCATTTTGAAAGGGGGAAATATTTGGCTTTTACCAAAGAGGGTTTTTTGTTTGTTATTAAACAAAATTCCTTCAGAAGAACTTAATTGGGTAAGGATAGATTAAAACCACATATGTCCAAATCTGCTTCTTTAGGAGTTTAGTCATATTTATGTGAGTAAAGTGATGAAGAACTCTTTAAGGTAATCCTCTGGGTGAAGGATCCTGGGAAGTTCTCTCAGGTAAAGAAAGTTTGCAACAGATGTGTAATATATGTCTTGAGAGTTATTTATAAGAAATTTAAGAGGATTGTTTTGGTTTCCTATATTAAAGATTTAAGTTCTTTTTTTACTTTTGCAAAAAAAAAATTTTACGAAAGTTTTATAATTGTAACATTGTTAATTTTTTAAAACTTTTCCAAAACAACTAGTTGTAGCCGAATTATGGGTTTATGTTTTGCTCTATTTAGAATTTGAAATGTAGTATGTGTGATAAATTTACTGTTTGAAATTTATAATAGCCTTGGATATGGTTAGAGTTTTGGTAACTTTTTTAAAAGTTATTTTCTTCCCTTGAGTCACAAAGGCAACTGTGGGTTTATATTTGTTTTTTGAATGCTAATTTTTCTATGAAGTGTCTGAAGTTGACCAGTCTTTTCCTATGTAGAAAACTCAGAACTTGTTAACTCTGTACTTTAATAAAAATTAAAATGGAAAACTACGTTGCTGTTGTTTTGATTTTTGGATTTTTTTATAATTAGAAGTCCTCCAGGTGGTATTTTCCAAAGATGTTGCCTTCAGGTGTTAATCATCTTTCTCTCAAGCTCATAGAATCTTTTCTGATTCTTAATAATGAAACTATAAACATGAAAACCCAACTTTTTTGTTTCCTTCACTGCCCCCACCCCACAGCTTTTGTGGGCTCCTTCCTTTTTCCTATTCTTAGGCTAGTGCCACGCTCTCTCAAATATGAGAATTAGAGCAAGTCTCTAAGGAAGGTAGTAGAAGTGTTCCAACATGGGTCTTCTTTTTCAAGATTTGGCTTTTCTAGGCCTTTTATATTTTCCTTGAAAATTTAGGCTTGAGGGGGATGGCATTGTGTCATTAGACTATTTTGGAAAGAGTTGACATTATAACAACATTAAGTCTTCTGATCTAGGGTTATTTTTCATTCATGTAGGTTCTTAAAATTTTCTTTAGTAGCATGGTATAGTATTGCTATTTTTATTACAATGTCTTTGTGTGAAATTTAATCTTTTTTTCAAAAGATTTTATTTATTTGTCAGAGAGAGAGCACAAGCAGGGGGAG